ACTCTGTAGTCCAGGCTGGCCTCGAACTCACAGAGATCCGCCTGGCTCTGCCTCCCAAGTGCTGGGATTAAAGGCGTGCGCCACCACTGCTCGGCTAGTTACATTTCTAATGCTGAGTGAGATAAAATATCCCAGATAAAAATAGCTTGGGAGAAAAGGGTTTCTCTGGGTCACACTTTCAGGTTACACTCCATCACTGAGGGAAGTCAAGGTAGGGATTTAAAAGGTCACACACATAATCAAGAGCAGAGCAATGGATGCACTCATGTTATCTGCTTGCTATCATGTAGCTTTCTCCTGTCTGACACAGTTCATTCAGGATGCCCTGACCAGGGAATGGTGTGCTCACAATGATCTAGGTCTTCCCACATCAGTCAACAATCAAAGACATGTCTGTAGGCTAATCTGATCAGGAGAAACCCTCAATTGAGAGACTTCCTCAGCAATGGTGGCAAGTTGACAGGTAGCACTAAGCAGTACAAACTGTGACCATTGAGGTCAGGACATGGTTGCCAGGAAGGAGGTTTGTGGACATTTCACCGTGAACCCAGGGTCAGAGGGCTCACCACTCTGGACCTACAGGAGAAGCTTGGACATCTTACAACCCCACCACCATCAGCCAGAGGGAGCTGAGCTGCTAGTCAGTTCAATGGAACTCCAAGCCAGGGCTCTGCTCACTTTGATTCGCTAGCTCATTAAACCTCATTCAGGACCAGGATGCTTATGCCAGGGCAAGTGGCTGCCTTGGAAGACACATGCTCTTGGGTACGATTGCTGAACCAATGGCTCTGTCAGATGGACTAGACAAGGGATCTCAAATGGAACCTGGGAGTCCTGAGACCCCCTGAGGTTTGGGCAGGACTTATCTAGCTCCCAAACATCTGCTAACCTCACCTGCTCTGCATCCTTCCCATCTGCCCCCACCCCACCTTCCTCTTCCACCCAGAAGTGTTGAATGGCAACAGGACTAAAATAGCTCCCACATCCCTCCCCCTCTCTCCCATTGTTCTGAGACAAGGGTGCTCATGACTCTGACCATGCAGGGCCACGGTCACTGCCCCTGGATCCACATCTGTCTTCCGTACATGGGATGACATCAGTCCCTCACAGGGTGTCCACACACATGACAGCATGATCAGGTGCCCACATGACTAGATTCCTTGCCTTGCCTTTTCCAGGAAGCAATCTAAGCATTGGAATCACTGCCAGGGCCAGTCTAGAGGTGACTTCCTTGCCAATGCAGTTGGTACAATCCTAGCCCTGTACCCTCCCTACACCCAGCATCCTCCCAGGCCTGAGTAATTGGCTCTTGATGGAAGAGTCCTCCCTTTCTCTGTCATCTGTCCGGCCACCTGGGGCTGCTGGCAGCTCTCACCCAACAATGGTTTGATCTGTCATCAAGTGACGGCTCCAGAATGAGCCAAGTTGAAAAGCTGAGATAAAGAGACCAAACATCAAACAGCTTTCTGCCACTCCTCAATCTCCATGTGCTGGGACTTTTCCACGTGGGCTGCCAGGCCAGGCTGCTGATGGTGGAGATGAGGGGTCACGAGACACTGTTTAGTCTCAGTTTGATGCCCCTTGAAAGCTGTAAGTAGGCAAGAGTCCTCCAAAGGGTGGTGACGGAAGAGAGAAATGGCTGATATTTTAACCGTCACATTTGAGATAAGGAGCTTTAGGGATCTGTCTGTCTTAGCAGAGAGGCAAGTATTTGTTAGGAGAACTATTTGGGGCGGGTAGACCAGATTTCCACAAAATCTCCGAGAGAAGCAAGTTTGTGGACCAGTTCAGTATGTTTAAATGGCTGTGTGATCTCTTTAACATTTATGACCCAAGGAATTAGCTGGAAATTCTTATACTAATGTATTTGAGGTTTTTAGTAGATGGTGGGCATTACAGTTTATCCCTGTAACTGGTAAGTAGCAGGTACCTAACAGTTGTCTACTGAGTGGACACATGCTCATTAAGGACTATACAGAGAGTGGCTCTGGACCTTGAACATTAATTAGCATCAAGTCTTCCTCCAAACTCCAGTGTCCAGTTCTCACCCCAGACCGATTAGATCCAAATCCCAGGCAAGGATGGGGCTGCATCAGGTGTCAGCAGATTTCAAAGCTCCCCAGGTGTTTCCACTGTGCCTTCAAGCCCAGCACACCGCTAGCTAGTGGACATGTCATTGGCGAGGTGAGGAAGCTCTCTCCATTGTGCTTCTGACCCCTGCCCTCTCTGGCCTCCCAGAGGGGAGTGAGGCTAGAGGCAGGCTGTATCATGGAGTCCTTTCCATGTCCTGTTCCTTTTCATGACCACTGTCTGTGCCGGGTGTGGAAGAACAGACAGAGCACAGCGGTGTGGTGTGCTGAGCTGTTACCTTGTGTCAGCGTGACTGTTAGCTTTCATTTTAGACACGAGACAACCCAGAACGAGTCTCAATAAGGGATCGTCTACATTGTGTTGGCCTGTGGATGTGTCTGGGGGGGTTGTCTTAATTAGTGTGTGAAGACCCGGTCCACTGTGGGCATCAACATTCCTTAGGCAGGAGGTTTGGAACTGTGTAAGAGTGGAGAAATCCGGCTGAACACCAGTCAACAAGTGAGCATGTATGCACTCATCCTCTCTGCTGCTGACTACAGATGGACAGGACTGACTGCCTCAAGCCTGCTGATGGACGTCCCTGCTGCGGTGAACTGTAACCTGGATTGTCAAACAAATAGGTCCCTTGCTTTCTGTCTGGGCACTTTACCACAGCAACGGAAGTGAAACTAGGCACTACTGAACTCTTAAAGGCCTGAGGTAACTCCTCACTGTTGTCAGGATGTAGCTCAGATTTTCTGGGCCTGCTCCCGCCTTCGGTGACTCAGACCCGTTCTCTTTCGGCTCCGTCTGTCATTACCTTGTGTGTTCCCATTCTCCTCCTTTTAGGGATGCCCATGGACACCATTCATTCCCAAGTCTATGGTTCACATGGACACAGCACAGCAGGGCACACTGTGACATTCATGGATGCGCTTTGTGCTTGAGGATGGAAATGCCCCATTACCATCACTTTAGAATTGCTCTTGAATTCTAGCTGCAGAAATGAAATCTGCCCTGTCTGCTCTTTGCCTGAATTCTTAGCAGATCACAGTCATGTCATGTGAACTTGAAAAGAAGGCAAAGAGAAAATAGCTCAGTCTTGTGACTCCGTGGGAAAGGGCCGGAAAGACACCTCCGAGACAATGGGTGTAAGTGGGCCACGGCTGTGGATTAGATGTGTCCATGTTGACGTTCCTGAGTTTGATAGTCACGTGTGGCTTTGTCCTTGGGGAAGGCACAGGGAGCATTTATGGGTCAAGGGACATGGTTTCTACAACTTGTTTTCAGATGGTCAAGAAAAACAATCTACATAGAAAGAAAGGTTAAATCCATGAATCAGGAATGCCAGCATTCGGTGAATCTGGGTAGAAGGTACACAGAGGATTCTTGCAACATATTTTCAACTAGGAACTTAGAGTTTTAAAATTATTTCAAAGTGTGTGTGTGTGTGTGTGTGTGTGTGTGTGTGTGTGTGTGTGCGTGCGCGCAGGTCTGGGGAAGCCAGAAGAGGGTGTGAGATCCATTGGAGCAGAAGCTCCAGACAGTTGTAAGTTGACTAAGCTGGGTGCTGGGACCTGAACTCAAGTCCTCAGCAAGACTAACATACTCTCTTCTGAGACATTTCTCTAGCCACACAACTAGAAATTTAAATGAACATGTTTTTTTTGTGTGTTCACCCACACCTGCCTGCACCTCATCACAGTTGGTCTGTCCCTACTGACTGACCTTCATGGAGCTGCCAGGCATCTGATACCTAGATGCTGCTTCAAGGCATGTGTAGCTCAAGGAGGTGGCTCCTAAACGCCAAAGGCTAGCCCAGGCACCCATAGCCACACACATTCCTAGCCAAAGGCTAGCCCAGGCACCCACAGCCACACACATTCCTAGCCAAAGGCTAGCCGAGGCACCCACAGCCACACACATTCCTAGCCAAAGGCTAGCCGAGGCACCCACAGCCACACACATTCCTAGCCAAAGGCTAGCCCAGGCACCCACAGCTACACACATTCCTAGCCAAAGGCTAGCCCAGGCACCCACAGCCACACACATTCCTAGGGAGAGAAGTCACCATCCCTCATACCCTTCTCTGTCTGTCTACCTGGCCTCTGGGACAGTCCTGTTCTCTAGGTACACTACTTGGGTGCCTCTGCCAGCTGGCTTCACCAGGCCATCAGGCTGCAGATGGCTTTCCCCACTCTGTGAAAGGATCCAGTGTGTATCCCTGAGAAACAATGGCCTAGCCTGACAATTCACAGAGAACATCTGCCTGATTTGGAAAACATGGCCAAGCAGGAACAGGCCAATTAATTATATGACCTTAAACTAGAACATCACCTCAGCAGCTTTTGTCTCCTCAGTTGTAGACTTCCCCATGACTAGCTGATCCTCAGGTCTCCCAGGCTCAGTCAGAAGTGGTGACGAGGGGTGACAGTTAGTCCTAACTGGATTTGATCTAAGCTTGAGTAGATTTACAGTCACCCAGGAGACACACCTCCGGGCATGTCTGTGAGAAGACTCCCGGGGAAGACCAACAGAGGGAGGGTTAACCTGCACTCAGTGGAAGTTGGATCTTCCTGTGGAAGCTCAGATACAGGACATTTCAAAGAAATAGCAGCGTGCAGATGCCTGCCTTTGGTCCCCGCTCTCTGATCCCTGGGCCACTGAGATGTGGGCAAACAGCCTCTTAGAGCAGCCTCCTCCCACGAATCCCAGCCCGATGGACTGTATCTCTTTATCCATGAGCCAACACGAGCCTTGCCTCCCTGAGCTTCCTCTCATTGGGCATTTGGTCACAGCAGTGAGAGAAGTAACAAATACATTCAGCAAGCAGAACCTGATGACCACTCTGCAGAGGTCAGATCCCACCCAGGGCTATGGGGATTTATCACCGAGTAACCACTTCCGTACCCTCTGCATCCGAGGGGTGCCCAAGGCACGTCCTTTCTCAAGCCCATAATGTTTTTATCTTTGAAAAAAGTCTGTTTATGGCCTTTTTACCTCTGAGCAGTCACGATGAAGCTGAGAATCGCCTCTTCCCCAGACAGGTGGCTTGTGTCAAAGATGACACTGAACTCATACTAGGGAAAAAGAAAGAAGTCACTTTTGGCAACCACAAGCACTCCGCATTTTGAATTTGCAGACCAGTTTTCTAGAATGGTCTGCAGCTTATGTCCTCTGGAAGCTCAAGTGTTATTTTTTATGTCTATCTGATTTCCAGGCAAGGGGCTTCCACAGCAGAACCACCCTTTCCCCAACTCTAGTGAGAGGCACATCACCCCCTTCAGCCACAGCAAGTCCCAGAGGAAGTGGCACACGGGAACTGAAAACTAGGAGTTTCTGGCTTCACCTCTATCATCTCCCCAGGCTCGCCAAGTTTACATATCTCATCAGCTGTGACGTCTAGAAGATGGTCTTTAATTCCAGCAAATGCGGACAGATTGTGAACTGTTTAACATACCTCAATTATTTGGTTTACATTAAAGTAAGTTCTAGGCAACTGCATGCTTTTTTGAGACACTGAATTCTTTTAAACTGAATGCTACTTGAGAGCAATGGGCATGGACCATTAACTTGGATCATTATCTATGGTGGACACAAACATCCCCTTTCTAGGCAGAAATCTCTGTGGCAGTGGGACGTGGTTTATGAGGAGGATGAGGCATGAAGACAGGGTAGGGGTCACTAAAGAAGGGACAATCAAGACCCTGTCCCAGGAGAGTCAGACTTGGCAGAACATCTGAGTTAAGTCAACCACACTAAATACTGAAATGAGGTGAGGACATGTGGTTTGGGTGAAAGTCAAAATCAGAGATCGAGGCACGGAAACTGGTCAGGCTGGAAGTGAGTGGCAGAAACTGCCACTCAAAGTGAGCCTGAAGTGTAGTCACGAGGCCGAGCAGGTGTCCTGGCACCGGAGGACTCCAGGATCTGAGGACAGGTGAGTGTGAGGGGCCACAGGTAGGGGAAGCTCAGGCCTCAGGTAACTTGCTGGTTTTTTTTTAACCCCCCTCTCCACATCCTCACCTCTGGGCTTAGACTTGCTAACAGTCTTAATATCTGTATGTGGAATTTCCAAGAAATAAAGCAGAATAAGGTTGTTTATATTTATGACCAGTGCAGCAGAAACAGGAGATCAATATTCCAATAGTTATTATTTCTATTGACTTTATGACATTTTCAGAATTAATACGTGTTGGTGAAACCCACATTCTACTACGAGAGGTAACTAGATACATTTTGATTTGTGATATGAGTTGGATTTTTACAGCAGAGTAGCATGTTTAAGCAAGAGTGTTTTTCTTTTCTTTCTTTCTTTCTTTCTTTCTTTTTTTTTTTTTTGGTTTTTTGAGACAGGGTTTCTCTGTGTAGCTTTGCACCTTTCCTGAAACTCACTTTGTAGACCAGGTGGCCTCAAACTCCCAGAGATCTGCCTGTCTCTGCCTCCCAAGTGCTGGGATTAAAGGTGTGTGCCACCACCACCTGGCAAGTGTGGGTTTCTTAATGAAATCTATTTTCTGTTACTCAAAACATTTAAATGAAGTGGTGTGTGTGTGTGTGTGTGTGTGTGTGTGTGTGTGTGTGTGTGTGTATGTACATGCGTGCATTCAAACTACATGCTTTACCATGGGCAAAGCTACCCACAGTGCCTGGTCTTCCTGTCTGCCCCATCTTGGGCTGTGGACTATGTGGCATGGTACATCAAATGCAGTTGATGGGTTTAGGTGTTTCACCAAGACAAGAGGAGACCTCATTCCATTCTAAAACAATGGCAGGTACAGGGCCATGAAGCTCAAGAGACAGTTCTATGACTGGATGGGGAGCAGAGGGAGAAGTTAAATCAGAGAGTTTTCTCTAACATCCTGACAGAAAATAGCTATGGACTCAAAGGCAGCTCTGGCCTCTTTAGATCGCAGTTTTGTTTCCACAAACCAGGCTGGTCATTTTTCCTAACCATGGCATACACCAGAATGTTCCATGAATATCTGCTATGCTATATAGTATTACTGTTTGAGCTTAAGAAATCTGTCTCCTTCTAAATAACAACTTGACTGCAATGCCTTCAACTTTTCAAAATATGAGCCAGAATGCAGGTATTTTTGTTGGGAAAGTTTGAGGGATCTCTAGAAAACATTTAGGACCCAAAGTCTGTGAGTCACTAGTTCACATCACATATTCTCCTGTGTTCTGTTGTAGACTCAAAATAGTACAGAATATACCAGATTTTTTTTTTAACAAAGGAACATTGATAAAGTACCAAGGGGTCTGTGGTGTCTTCCCTGATTGGGGATGGTGTGATAAAAGAGACAGATCATGTAACCATAGATGCCCTGGAGCAGAGCACCAGTGACAGACACATGCCAGGGCTCTGGTAGTCACCCAGCCACCATGGGAGGCAGGGTGTGTGGTGTGCGTGTGCACATATGTGTGTGCATAGCAATAAATGACGGATAGGAAGAGCTGGCAACAGTGGCCTAGGAAGTACCCCGGCTCCTCCAAGGGCCCCCTCACCTTTGACTTTGACCGCATGAAAGGAAATCCCACACTGCACTTGAGGAAGTCTGATTCCAGCAGCTCACAGGAAATGCCCATCTCCTCCTGAAACAGAAAAATTGCAACAGATGACTAGACTGCCCAGACGACAGAGGCACAGGAGGGCCCCAGTGAGGCCACCAAGTCCATGACAGTCATTTCACTGTCTCCAGCGGTGGCGCACTCAGGAGCTCGGAGACCAAGCCTCCCATTCTTCTCTGGATGCCCACCCACTTCCCAGGGTCCCCTGGGGCAGCAGCAGAGGACAGAACTACGGATCATTTTAGGCCAATGCTTTAGGTCTTAACCATTGTCGTCAACGGAACCAGATTTAGAATCACACAGGAGACCACCCCTCAGCATGGCTGTAAGGATGTTTCTAGAAAGATTTAACTAAGGAGGGGAGATCCACCCTTACTGTGGACAGCACCATCCCATCGGCTGGGATACAGACTGAATGAAGAGGGGCTTGTAAGATTGTTCAGTGGGTAAAGGTGTTTGCTGCTAAATCAGATGACCTGAGTTTAATCTCTGTGACTCACAAGGTCGAAGGAAAGAACCAATTCTCCTAAACTGTGCTCCGTTCTCTCCAAATATATCTGTGGTATACACACACTCACACATACACACATAATAAATAAATAACTACAATGAGTTTTTTTTTTTTTTTTTAAGGAAAAAGTGAGTTGAGCACCAGAATTCATCTCTCTCTGCTTCCTGACTCCAGATGCAATGTGACCCGCTGCCTCCTGCTCTGGCTGCCACACCTTCCTGCCATGATGGACTACAACCTTAAACTGTGAGCCAAAATAAACCTTCCCTTTCTTAAGCTGCTTTTGTGAGGTATTTTGTTATAGCAATGAGAGAAGAAATAGAGTCTAAACCCAGGCTGCCCTGGTACACAGGAGGGCTGGACCACCGGTTCAGTTTGGAAGTTTCCTGAGGTTTGTACTAAAAAGCAAGCTATATTCCTGTCTCCTTTATCCCAAGCCTACTGTCTTAGGGTTTCTAGTGCTGTGAAGAGACACCATGCCCATGGCAACTCTTACAAAGGAAACGTTTCATTGGGACTGGCTTACAGCTCACAGATTTAGTCCATTATCATTATGGCAGGATATTGTGGCATGCAGGGAGACATGGTGCTGGAGAAGGAGCTGAGAGTTCTTGTGTCTTGACTCACAGGCAACAGGAAGTGAACTGTGTCACTGGGCATAGCTTGAGCATAGAAGACCTCAAAGTCCACCCCCACAGTGACACACTTCCTCCTACAAGGCCACACCTACTCCAACAAAGCCACACCTCCTAATAGTGCCACTCCCTATGAGTACCATTTTCTACCACATTTACCCACTAAACACCCTTTCAATACCTCGTTAGCTAAAGAAATACAAATTATTAAAAGCAACAACAACAATGTCTTTTTCACAGCACTACCTAAGCCATGGGCTGTGTCAAGATGAAGCTGAATATCTCCTTCCTTGCCACTGGCTGTCAGAAACTCATGGACGTGAATGACGCAAGCTTGGTACATTCTATGAGATGCATATGGCAACAGAAGTAGCTGCTGATGCTCTGGGTGAAGTGGAAGGGTTATGTGGTCTGGATCAGCGGTGGGAATGACAGACAAGGGTTTCCCAGGAGGCAAGGCATTTTGACCATGGCGGAGTGTGCCTGCTGTGGAGTAAGGGGCCTTGTTGTTAGAGAGCAAGAGAACCGGAGAGAGAAGAGCAGGTCTGTTTGCAGACGCATTGTGGATGCCAATCTGAGTGCTCTCAATTGGGTTATTGTGAAAGAAAGGAGAGAAGGATATTCCTGGACAGACAGACACTATTGTACCTCATTGATTAGAACCTAAAAGAGCTAGCCGAATCTGAAAGCTTTCTAATATCTCTAAAGATGATGTCCATCAACACATTACCAGAGAGCCCTTAAACAAAGAAGGTAAGAAGGAAGCCAGGACCAAAGCGCCCAAGATTCAGCATCTTGTTACTCCATGTGTCCTGCAGCACACACACTGATGTATGGCCCTGAAGATACAACGTCGTACTAAGAAAAACAAGGAGGAGGTTGCAGAGTATGCTAAACTTTTAGAGAGAATTCAGGAAGCCAAAGAAAAGCACCAGGAACAGATTGCCAAGAGACTCAGGCTGTCCTTGAGAGCTTCTATTTCTAAGGCTGAGTCCAGTCAAAAACAAGTCTTTAAGGGTAACAAATAAATAATCATACCTTGAAAAGACAACAATAAAACAAACAAACAAAACACACCACGGAAAATAGGATTTCTTTCTGTAGCTCAAGGGACAGCTTGCCCAGGATGGAAAGTAGATGCCAGGGTGAGGTGATGGGTACAGTGTTTCCAGCCTTGGCTGGCTCTGCAAACACTGTCTTTAGAGAATGTGGAGAGCAGTTACAGGGAGCTACCATTGTTTGACTTAGGCACAAGATTTCTGAGATCAGAGGAAATCCAGGAGGCTCTCATGACCCACAGGCCTCTCTATGTTCCTGAGACCAAGTTAGGACATCCATGGCACTGATAGTCTGCAGACAGAAAAGTAGCATCATAGCTGAGAACGTTCTCACGTTCCTAATCCTGATGTTCCTGCCTCCACCTCCTGTGATTACCAGCATGCACCACCCAGCTCTTCCACCCAATTTTCAGGGTCTGTTTTTACACTCCTGTGGTGGTTTGAAACAAAATGCTCCCCAAAGGGAGTGGCATTGTTAGGAGTTATAGCATTGTTGGAGGAGGTGTGACTTTGTTGGGGAAAGTGTGTCATTGTGGGGGTGGGCTCTGAGGTCTTCTTTGCTGAAGCTATGCTCAGTGTGGTACACAGTTCACTTCCTATTTCCTGTGGATCAAGATATAGAACTCTCAGCTCCCTCTCCAGCACCATGTCTGCCTGCATGTTGCCATGTTCCACCATGATGATAATGGACTGAACCTCTGAAACTGTGAGCCACCCAATTAAATGTTTTCCTTTATAAGAGTTGTTGTGGTCATGGTGTCTCTTTATAGCAGTAGAAATCCTAACTAAGACAAAAACTTCTATAAATTTTTCTACTAAAAATATGAACATTTGCACTGGGTGTGGTGGCGCACACCTTTAACCCCAGCACTTGGGAGGCAGAGGCAGGCGACAGATCTCTGTGAGTTCGAGGCCAGCCTGGTCTACAAAGCAAGTTCTAGGCCAGCCAAGGCTGCTACACAGAGAAACCCTGTCTCAAACAATAACAACAAAGAACATCTGGACCGGAGACAGGGCTCTATGATTTAGAGTCCTCACTCCTCTTGTGGAGAACTGGGGTTTGGGTCCCAGCATCCACCTGTCAGTTCATAACCAACTGTAACTCCAGTTCCAGAAGATCTGACACATTTTCTGACCTTCTTGGGCACCTGCATGAATGTAGTGCACATACATACACTCAGGCACACTCATAAATATAAAACAAATATTTAAAAATAAAAGCATTTGCCACAATACATTAATTTATAGCTATATCCTGCCACTAAAGTACTTAATCAAACACGCAGAAACAGAAATGACAAAATGTGGGCTCAAAGGTCAAGAAATAACACAGGCAGTTTCTGGTGTTGAGGATGCTCTTAAATTTTTCATTTTTTTTTATTTTATGTGTATGTGTTTGTACCATATTCATATAATTCCCATGGAAGACAGAAAAGGGTAGCAGATCCCTTGGAGCTGGAATTACAGGCAGTCATGAGCCACCATGTGGGTGCTGGGGATCGAACTCAGGTCCTCTGCAAGAGCAGCAGGTGCTCTTAATAACCAAGCCATCCCTCCCGCCCCAGGACGTTTTTTTCTTGATTTGGGTGCTGGTTACATAGGTTTGACCATTTTGTGAAAATTAATTGAGTGAAATTTAATGACTTAGGTACTTTGTTAAACATTAAAACAATTTATCCTAGAAAATAGTAATGCAATATAACAGCCGAAATTCCAAAATACAACCAAGCAAACAACAGAAGATAAATATAATAGGAAACCATTGTAAGTCTTTTCAGCACTTAGAAATAACTGATATGGCTGATTTTAAATTTCCTAATGGCTGGCTATGCACATAGCTAGGAGTCTTCACATGGAGACCCAAGATCACCTACATTAACGGCACCATAGGAACATTTGAAAATGTAGATTCTTGAGCTACATCCTATTGAATATGTATCTCTAGGAGACTCAGGGGTCATGGGACCCAGGATGAACATTGGTTCATTCATAGTTCTCTTTCTTCCCCCACCCCCTGCATGTGTGAATGTCTTGAAACTGGGTCCCATGTATCCCAGGCAAGAAGACTAGGCTGGCAAGATAGTTCAGTGGGTAGAGGCACTTGCTCCCAAGACTGATGATCAGAGTTTAATTCCTGGGACACACATGGTTGAAGGAGAGAGCTAAGGTACACATACATACATACATACATACACACACACACACACACACACACACACACACACACACACATACACACACACACACACTTTTTTTTTTTTTTTTGGTGTGAGGCATCATATATTAAGAAAGGTTTCATGCAGTAGCTGTTCATGCAATACTTGGTTGCTTTTCAGGCATTGTTACTTTATTTTAAAAAA